CAGCCACTTTGGACGGCACCTTTGCCGACCGCTCGTCGGAGGTTGTTAGAATATCACTTGTGAGTTATCCCACATCGTTCATACATGGAAAATAGACCCACCTTATAAGTCTAATGGACTACTCCTCCTTCCACCAATTGGTTTTGGGATGGAACCCCATTAGGCTTCATATGGGCTTTTCCTTTCTCATGGTGCGCTTCATGTTAGTGGGAACGCACCCGTTTTCCCCCAAATTCTTACATGGTATTAGAGCCAGTTCTATTGGGACCGTGCCATGATGTACCCATTTATGGGAGTCTGCTTCTCCACGTACCCGTTTATGGGAGTCTACTTCTAGTATACTTGGGGCACCCACTTGGGCTTGGACTTCTCGCAACCGTTTATGGGAGTCTGCTTCCCCACGTACCCGTTTATGGGAGTCTACTTCTAGTAGGCTTGGGGCACCTAGTTGGTCTTGGACTTCTCGCACCGTTTATGGGAGTCTGCTTCCCCACGTACCCGTTTATGAGAGTCTACTTCTAGTAGGCTTGGGGCACCCAGTTGGGTTTGGGCTTCCGAAGGACTCACAAGTGAGGGGGCGTGTTAGAATATTACTTGTGAGTTGTCGCACATCGTTCATATGAAAAATAGACCCACCTTATAAGTCTAATGGACTATTCCTCCTTCCACCAATTAGTTTTGGGATGGAACCCTATTAGGCTTCATATGGGCTTTTCCTTTCTCATGGTGCGCTTCATGTTAGTGGGACCGCACTCGTTTCCCCCAGTTTCTTACAGAGGTGACCACATTCTCGACGCCGGAAACTGCTGCCATCCGCAGTGACGGGCGGAAGTTTTCACGACGACGAGCAGCAACCAACAGTCGCGCAGTCATGGCGGCCAGAAGCAGCGACCATAGGTCGCACAGTCATGGTGACTAGAAGCAACGTCATCGAGCGCCGCAGGGGCAGAGAAGTTGAAGTCGACGGCGGTTGACGGAGGTCGCAGCCTGTGGATGGTGGTGTAGTGGTCGTCTTGTTCATGCGTGATTGACAGCGGGCTCCGGCGGTTGCGTTTCAGTGGGCTCCAGCAGCAGCGTGACTGTTAGCTCCGGCATCCGGCGGCGGTGGCGGCGTTTTGCGGCGGCGACGACTTGCAGACGCGGCGGTCGGAGATTGGGTTGGAATGTGTGCTGTGTATGTGTGTATGGTGTGTGTATCATGTATATAGTGTGTGTAGTGCGTGTGTGTCGTGTATATAAATTCTGTATGTATATTTGTGTGTATGTGTGTTAAGAGAGAGAGATAGAAGAGAGAGAAAAGTTGGGAGAGAGAGAATATATTTACTGGAAAAACGTGTGGGTTAGGTGGGAAATTGAATTGATTGTTTTATGGTGGGACCAATGACATGTTTGGGTGATAAAATGTCCATAAAACCTTTAATGAAGTTATAATATTGACTTCTTATCAGGCATTAGATTATTTCATCCAATGATTGTGATTTATTCTTATTTCTCTCCCTAGGCACCATTCTCACCGAAGCACGACTATATATATATGTGAAAATATTTATTTTCACCCCGTTTTGAAGTCCTGCTAAGTTTTTCACACCGCCCAATAAAAAACCAAGTTTTTCACCCAGAAAGTGTGAAAGACATTGTGCGATGAATATGCGACAATTGCGCGATGACATTGTGTCAAAGTTAAAAGTGCGAAGGCATTCACATATCTTTCACACTTTCTGGGGTGAAAAAAAAGTTAGAGTACGAAAGGCATTGTGCGATGAATATTCGACAATTGCGCGATGACATTGTGCGAAAGTTAAAAGTGCGAAGGCATTTGCATATCCTTCGCACTTTATGGGGTGAAAAAAAGTTAAAGTGCGAATGCATTGTGCGATGAATACGACAGTTATGCATTCTATCGCATAACCTTCGCACTTTTCGGGGTGAAAAGGTTAGATTATTAGTGAGCGGTGTGAAAAAACTTAATATATCTTTGTGTTGAGGTGAAATTTTTTTTCCCTATAATTATATATATATATATATATATATATATATATTCACTAATCACTATGGCCGACAAATACAATACATTCACTTTCACTTTTTGATTTTTTGTGGACTTGATTTTGTAAAACACTATAACTTTTCACTTTTTCCTACCTTCGTTTTTTATTTTCAGATTCTCTCACTTGTATTTTTATATTTATTGGACGAAATGTGTATTTTTATACTTATGATACGAATTGTGTATTTTTTATTTTATTATTGTTGTTTTTCTTAATTTTTAGGCCCAAATAATCTCTTTTGCCCAAAATTAAAAATAAAAATTAAGCCAAAATGAAAAAAAATAAAAATTGAAGGCCAAAAACAAGGATTTTAGGTTTAACCGGCTAACCACCAAACCGGACCGTCCAATGCGGTTCGGATTGTGGCCGGTTAAAAAATAAAACCGATTTGGTTATGGACAAGAAAAAAATTAACCGTTAGGTCCGGTTTTGGTCATAGTTTGGGCTAAAACTGGACCAATCCGCACCGTGAACACCCCTAATAAAAGAATACACACACACACACACACACATATATATATATATATATATATATATATATAATATACCAATTAAAAAAATTAAGCACCTTACATATTTATATAAGTCTGTATGTATTTAAATGGAGGATTATAGATATATCTATCCAAGCCAACTATATTATTTATTTGACCATGAGAATAATATGTAATGTTCTACACATTATTTAAAATCAAATAGATATGTAGGAAGTGCATAAGAAAATTATAAAGTATTTATAATATTTATTATTATCTAATAATAATAAAAATGAAATACATATCTCTATTTTCCCTATATTACTAAAACTTGTGTACAAACTTCTACAGTGTTTTACTAACCATCAATATTATAAATACTTGATAATTTTCTTATGCACTTCCTAGATATCTATTTCCTTAAAATAATAAAAAACAAATAAAAATAATAATTACTCAAGGAAATATTACTTATTACTAATAAATCATATAATTAGCACAATTCAGATAATGGTGTATTTGTGGGGTATCACAGCCATAACATTAAATATGACCATATTAGTGCTGACTTGTAAAATAACAGTTTCTCTTAATCTTGTTTACCATATAATAATTAATTATTATGTTATTAAAAAAAATTTATTGTCATATAATGTCATTATTATTAAAAAAGTTATAAAAGTTGTACATTTTTTCTTATTATTTTTAATTTATGTAATGAAAAATATTTAATGCACGTTAGTATTATTTATTTATGTAATAAACTTAAAATATGTAAATAAATTTAAAATTAAATAGTGTAGTAATAATTTACAAAATATGCACATATGTTTTTTTAGAATTTAATTTTGTATACTAATTAAACAACTTTGATTTAGAAAGTAACAAAAACTCAATCCCTTCTGTAACTAAGATTTTTGTAATTTGCATTATAAGATTTTATAGTTTATTTAGCATACTCTGCAATCATAATATATTTACAAGAATTTCATTATAGAAATAAATCAAAATAAAAAAATGATTAAAAAATAATCACGGTTGCCAATAATATACAAATAAATTCTAAGAAACAGTTAATATATTTTAGTTTTAATTTTTGACCATTAATAAAACTATTTAATGTATCTGATCATTATCTCTTAAATGGTAAATTATATTAATTTGAAGGATAATATTTTTATATATATGAAAATATAAAGCTTAAGAAAATTATATTGATAAAGATTAATTCACCAACTTGATTTTGTCTGATTAATTGGAAGAAAAAACTCCAGCCAACATGTTATGATTTTCTACAAATATTGTTGAATAAAAGTAAATATTTGTGAAAAAATCATAATATTATGGTTAGAACTTAAAATATGTTGTAATATTTATCTTGACCAAAATATTATCAACATGAACCACGAAAATCAATCTTGTAATTTATTATAATAGATTTAAATGAAATTAATGCATGTATTAATAAAATTATTTAAGGAAACAATATTTTTCATCATATCTGATTCGATCTTATTTTAAAACATGTATATGTAAGTAATCAATACATATATTTAAAAAGTTGCATTAAATGCTCCAAATTTTTTTGCTATTATTTTTAGTAAATGGTTATTCTTATTATATAGATATAGATATTGATATAGATTCCATAATACATAGGGTAATAAATATGTCATATATATACCATATGTTATTAACAATAAATATTAGGAACTTTAAGTAAAAAAAAAAATCTTTAATATACTTTGTTTATATACCAAAAAAATCTTCTAAAAACACTTATGTTTGTCAGACGGTGTAAAATCTATATATTACTAAAGAGAAGATTTTCTACAAATAAACCTATGAAATTTTCCCACGCATTTTAATCTCTTTTTATAGCAATTTTTTTTACTAATAAATAATTAATATTAATAATATAATATGATAAATATGTAATGATTCTTTTTTAACAAGTATATTTCTATTTACTAGGTCGAAATGTAAGAAGTTTTTATAATCTACTAATATTAGCGTTTTTAGTAATTTTTTCTTCAAATAAAAATATATCATAAATAATAATATATAATAATCAAAATCTACACTTATTCCTCTCTCTTGCGTAAATCTTCAAAACTTGTTCAAAAAAATTAAAGAATTATGTAAATCTTCAAAACTTGTTCAAAAAAATTAAAGAATTATGTGATGTGTTCGACTTCTAGTAAAGTGCCTATAATTTGCAGGTACCGGAACTCCTCTATACTCTAAAGTAGATGAATCCTCTTCATTTTAATGGTCAGTTTGGGATATAATGCCTATCTAAGCAGTCTCTCAAGATTCAAATATATTCTTTTTTTGTTTTGTTTGTGTGTACATAAACAAATGGTTTTAAATTGGAAAAAAAAGGTACAAGTCCATATCAACAAAAGAATTTACTAGGTGCAGTTTCTAATGCAGAAGGGTTGGGTTTCCCTATATATTATCATGTTGGCCGTTATCACAAGACAACTGAGGGTTCTATCAAGCTATCTCTGTCGCTGGGTGAACTCCTCCGATCTCCGAAGCATCGAGGTCGAGCAGCAGCTTTCCCACCTGCAACAGTCATAGGATATGCAAAGACGCATATTTACAGGGAGTGATCATAAGAATAGTAGCTTGTCATTTTGTTGGAATGCAATACAAGAAACAGCATCAAGCTACATTGTATTAAGTGCACTAAAATTTAAAATTTATATGTGAAACCCCTGCAGAAAAATTGGGATACAAATTTCGGAATCGTATTCTATTAACTCCACGAAAAATGACAAAATTGATAATTAAACAAATAAGGGCTAAAAATGGGTAAGTAATTGAACAAAAAATTACAAAATATGAGAGTGGGGGGAACCTACATCATTGAGTATAATTAACTATGGTTGGTTTAGATTCTTTGTGCCCTCACTGATGCCTTCCTTGCACTTGATACGAAGTTGGCCCCGTGCCATTATATTTCCAAGCACCTTGGTCAGCTGGATGGATCACTCGACTGGTAACAACTAACAAGAAAACAATGAACATCATTATAAAGCAACAATGAAGAAAAAAAAAAAAAAAAAAAAAAAAAAAAAAAAAAAAAAAAAAAAAAAAAAAAAAAGGCGTAAAAAGCAATTAAGCCTTTCTTTGTCTTTCTTTTTTTTTTATTTGTCTTCATGAATCATGTATCAAGTACATGACAATCACTAACAACTAACAATACCATTTTTTTTTAAGTTAACAATGGTTAACAAAAAAACTCAATTTGAGTGCATATATTTGTATTACAAACACACCTTTGCAATATAAATTGCAAGTTTGCAGCAACTTCAAAAATGTCAAAAGATGCAGCTAGTAGCATTTAATAGTACAATTAAAATAATATTTTGTCCTATTTTCTTTTTCCCATTTGCCCCCTCTGTTCTCTTTTTATCCCTGGAATAGGGGTCTATCTTTTTGGGTTTTGCTTATTTACACCCAACCCAAGACTTCCATTTTTTTTTCGAAAAAACCTATCCAAAGATAATCAAAAAGCAGAAACCAAAGGTTCATTCAAAATTGGCCCCAATTCCAATGGCCCAGGTATTGTCTCTAAATCCAATTATTCTCATAATTCATTTAACCCATATTTTTTTTTAATTGTAAAGAATAAATAAATTTCTGGGCTTTTAATTGTAAAGAAGGATGTCTTAGACAACTAAGACAAGTTTCTATGCAAGAATTTGCTGATTGATTCTATTTATTTTGTTTGCAGGAAATTTGTTTCTAAAGATTGTTTTGTGGTGTACTTTCTAGCAGCAACATTTTGAATATGATAACAAAGACATTTGCTTGCCAGTACTCATCGTTATTGGGTTTGATATATGATATTCCTATACAGTCTTGGTAATATCTGTGCGACGAGCAAAAATGAGATGAATCAACGTCTAATCAGTATTAATGCACATTAAATAAATTCTTGTTAAGATTGGTGAACCACTTCAATTTTTCGGGACAGTCTACAAGGAATATCCATCCTAAACTCACAATTTGAGGTCATTCTAGGAGGATTTTGTATTGTGGATCAGAAGGATTTTGTATTGTGGACATAGGCATTGGGCTCTTGAAATTAATTATATAAGAAAATGCAAGCAAATGAGAACTTGATTAAAACGCAACAAGCACTCAAACCTTATAAATACGGATGATCATAAAGTGGACATAAGCCGTGATAGATTAACCAGAGATGTAACAGCTTTATTGACGATCATTTAATCATAAAGACCTTATAACCCCTTACCTCCATCAGGTTCATTTGAAGTAACAGCATTGGCATATCCAATTCCAGGAACAGAAACCTCGCTTCCTGAAACCATGAGCACAAACAAAGCAGTATCCAAAATATTAAGCAAGATGATCACAGTTTTCAAACACATCGTCAATTATGGAGGGTAAAGAACCAAAGTACAGAATTTAAGTACACTCTCAACTGAACTAACATCATTTATCGATAGAAAAAAAACCAGTGCGGAATTCTTTCTTTATTTGAATGAGAAAAAGTATTGTTAAATCACCCACATATGGGAACCCAGTATGCAGTGGAACTAATGGTTGAATGGGAAAAAGTATTGTTAAATCACCCACATATGGGAACCCAGTATGCAGTGGAACTGATTATACAAAAAGAGACTTAAGATATCATGAATTAGAGCGAACTAATGACACAAAAAGAGATTTGGATATTATGAATTAGAGCGACTATGGTAGCTACTCTGTAAGTATTCTAATTGGGAACATATGCATATTTGAATAACTTGCAAACACATACATCAAATCTTGTAATGAATATATAATTTCACAATGCACCATTTACGACTGCATGCAGCAGATACATGCTACATAGTGAAAATATATATATATATAAACATTCCATCAATTATATTGAAATAATACCTCCAAATGTGAAAGGGCCATAATGAAAAAGAAGTGCAGGTCTCCATGGGGTTCCAGAGCTTGCTGTTGTGGCTGCAGGAAACAAAGGTTTGTCCAAAAACAGTGCAGGTCTCCATGGGGTTCCAGAGCTCGCTGTTGTGGCTGCAGGAAACAAAGGTTTGTCCAAAAACAGTGCAGGTCTCCATGGGGTTCCAGAGCTTGCTGTTGTGGCTGCAGGAAACATAGGTTTGCCCGAAAACAGTGCAGGTCTCCATGCTGTTGTGGCTGCAGTAAACATAGGTTTGTCCGAAAACAATGTATGACTGCTTTTGCCAATTGCAAATAGATGCTTAGTCCGAGCATATTCAGATGAGATGTTGGCTATACACCTTCGTTTCACGGCATCTGTTCCCAACCAATTAACAGCATCACCAAAAAGCTCCTACAATTGAAGACAACAAGTCACTAACAGTAAACTACAGAAAGTTACTTTGGTACCTAAAAATTTAAGTCCACAAAATTTGTCTCCTCACTCATTGTGATGTATCAGTGAAAGGGATGCCGAAAAGAATAATGATTAATTCATTAATCAAAACATGTGCTCCTAGATAGAGGTTGGATACAGAGAGGATGAGAGAGAAAGAGAGAGAGAGAGATTTTACTCAGGCCACTACATGCGGTGGACCTTCGCACTACCACTAGAAAGCATTAGACACCTCTCATATAATCAATCATTTGATAACACGTGAATAACTGACGGAGCCACTCTTGGTCAAAAACTACGTAGTGATTCTAAAGGATTCACATCGGATAAGACAATCCCATGAGGATGGCAGGGTCAGTATTATTATGGTGTCTAGCAGTACTAATATTTAAATTTAATGTTTGTTTAAAATTTCAACAACATACTTTACAAGAGCTTTTTGTGAAAAATATGTGTTTAGTATGAATAGCACCAAATGCTGGCCAAGAGTCGCAATCAATGTCTGCCGCATGCTCTTTTACACCAAAACAAATTGGTCGAAGGATAATGAGATTGCCAAGTACTTTACATAAACAAAAAAGTTCACCAAATAATGTCAGGTCGACATCCTTGTAATCACAAATATTCCCATATAATAATAACTACAAACTATAGAAATGACCCCACCAGGATGACTTCATCACAGCCGAATGGTGCACTAGATGACTTAGAGATAGCGAGTAAAATTGCAGATACTGATAAATTACCCTGAGGCATCTAGCACGGATTAAGTAATCCTCCACTCCATCCTCCCAAAGCTCATCTGGATGGTTTTGTAATTGACTTTGTATCCAACTGATCATGTAAGAGTTCACAACATTACCAAACAAATCTAAACCATGTCAGAAGGAAATAGAAGAAGTACACTACACTACTACAGCACATCTCAGGTATCGATATAAATCACAGTAATCACAAACTTCCAATCTATGACACATAACATAGCAGAGAACGCAAGCTAAAGAACATGAACTGATACAAATAAACCTCATCTAATTTTCAAACTTGTGGTACCACCAACAGCATTCCAGTTAAACATAAAGACACGATCCTAGGAACTGAAAACTTTTAGTGTCAAATTACTGAGGTCCACCCAGCACACAAAAATTTCAATGTTGGCAACTCCACCCTGCTACAAACAATTTCATCCATCTAAGATAAGATGGGGTCAACACAAAGTACAAGCATTACACAAAACTGATGGCCACAGTTCAGTAATTTGAACAAAAAGTTCTGCAGTCCAGCCCAGAATGAAGCACACAATCACTACAGCTAACTCAAGAAACTCAAATAACTAGCAAAATCAGTACTCCATGTAATTAAAAAAAAAAAACAATGAGTGAGTGCAGTCAGAGACCTCGCAAACTGGATATTGAGATTTGTCACATGCCATCCTGGTGATTTATCTCTCAGTAAATCCAGTGGCAGCTGCCGGATAGATGTTTCTCCCTTGTCAGCATGAAATTGAGGCCCCATTACTGCTATCTTGCTCTGCGTCTGCACAGCTACATAACCTTCAACACACGCATTGACAAAGGAAAAAAAATATCAATCATACCCGCAAACACACACACACACACACTTACGAAGGTGTCGTTAGAATTGAAAACGGGGATAGGGTCTAACTGAAAATACAAATAGAAGGAAACTGAGGTCCTCTTTATTATAACAATTAAATTACCTATTAAAGACTAACTGAAAATACAAAAATATAAATAAATACTATAATATAAGACGGATAAATTGTACAAGTGAATAGTACTATAATACCGTGTTAAATTAAAACTCCTCTTTAATACTTATTTTTTTAAAATTTAAGTATAAATTTGTTGTTGTGCTACTTAATAAACTAGTACGTTCCGCGTGCGATGCACGGGAAAGAAATATTAAATGAGTTATTTTCATTAGGCTCGTTAAAAAGCAATAAGGTTATCATCTATTTTCCACCTCTTTTGATCAGCGTTAAACCACTTCAATTTTTCGGGACAGTCTACAAGGAATCCATCCTAAACTCACAATTTGAGGTCATTCTAGGAGGATTTTATATCGTGGACATAGGCATTGAGCTCTTGAAATTAATTTCATAAGAAAATGCAAGCAAATGATGACTTGATTAAAAACGCAACAAGCATTCAAACATTATAATACAGATGATCATAAAGTGGACATACCCGTGATAGATTAACTGGAGAATTAACAGCTTTATTGACGATCATTTAACCATAAAGACCTTATCACCCCTTACCTCCATCAGGTTCATTTGAAGCAACAACATTGGCATTTCCGATTCCAGGAACTGAAACCTCGCTTCCTGAGACCATGAGCACAAAACAGTATCCAAAATTAAGCAAGATGATCACAGTTTTCAAACACATCGTCAATTATGGAGGGTAAAGAACCAAAGAGTAGAATTTAAGTACACTCTCAACTGAACTAACATAATTTATCGGTAGAAAAATAACCAGTATGGAATTCATTTTTTGAATGGCAAAAAGTGTTGTTAAATCACCCACATATGGGAACCCAGTATGCAGTGGAACTAATGATACAAAAAGAGACTTAAGATATCATGAACTAGAGCGAACTAATGATACAAAAAGATACTTAAGATATAATGAATTAGAGTGACTATGGTAGCTACTCTGTAAATATTCTAATTGGGAACATATTCATACTTGAATAACTTGCAAACACATACATCAAATCTTGTAATGAATATTTAATTTCACAATGCACCATTTACGATTGCAGGCAGTAGATACAGGCTACATAGTATATATATATACATATATATATATACATATATATGTTATACACTACAATTATAATGAAATCATACCTCAAAATGTGAAACGGCCATTATTATTATAGAGACGTGCAGGTTTCTATAGAGACGTGCAGTGGAACTAATGATACAAAAAGAGACTTAAGATATCATGAACTAGAGCGAACTAATGATACAAAAAGATACTTAGGATATTATGAATTAGAGTGACTATGGTAGCTACTCTGTAAATATCCTAATTGGGAACATATTCATACGTGAATAACTTGCAAACACATACATCAAATCTTGTAATGAATATTTAATTTCACAATGCACCATTTACGATTGCAGGCAGTAGATACACGCTACATAGTATATAAATATATATATACATATATATGTTATAAACTACATCAATTATATTGAAATAATACCTCCAAATGTGAAACGGCCATTATTATTATAGAGACATGCAGATTTCCATAGAGGCTTAGTACGAGCATCTTCAGATGGAATCTTGGCTACACCCCTTTGTTTCACGGCATTTGTTCTCAACCAATTAACAGCATCACCATAAATCTCCTACAATTGAAGACAAGTCAGTACACTACAGTAAACTACAGAAAGTTACTTTTGTACCTTAAAATTTAAGTCCTCACTCATTGTGATGTATCAGTGAAAGGGATGCCAAAAAGAATAATGAATAATTCATTTATCTGAACATGTGCTCCTAGATAGAGGTTGGATACAGAGAGGATGTAAGAGACGGAGATAGAGAGAGAGAGAGATTACTCAGGCCACTACATGCGGTGGACCTTCGCACTTCCACTAGAAAGCATTAGACACCTCTCATATAATCAATATTAGATAACACATGAATAACTTACGGAGCCACTCATGGTCAAAAACTACTCAACAAAAACCAGTGGTAGTGATTCTAAAGGATTCACATCGGATAAGACAATCCCATGAGGATGGCAGGGTCAGTATTTTTATGGTGTCTAGCAGTACTAATAATTAAATTTAATCTTTGTTTAAAATTTCAACAACATACTTTACAAGAGCTTTTTGTGAAAAATATATGCTTAGTATGAATAGCACCATATGCTGGCCAAGAGTCACAATCAATGTATGTCGCATGCTCTTTTACACCAAAACAAATTGGCCAAAGGATAATGAGAGTGCCAAGTACTTACATAAACAAAAAAGTTCACCAAATAATGTCAGGTCGACATCCTTGTAATCAAGAAATATTCCTATATAATAACTAAAACTATAGAAATGACCCCCCAGGATGACTTCATCACAGCCGAATGGTGCACTAGATGACTTAGAGATGCTGAGTAAAATTGCAGATACTGAGAAATTACCATGATGCTTTCAGCACGGTTTAAGTAACCCTGCACTCCATCCTCCCAACGCTCATCTGGATGGTTTTGTAATTGACTTTGTGTCCAACTGATCATGTAAGAGTTCACAACATTACAAAACAAATCTAAACCATGTCAGAACGAAATAGAAGAAGTCCACTACACTGCTACAGCACATCTCAGGCATTGATATAAATCACAGTACTCACAAACTTCCAATCTATGACACATAACTTAGCAGAGAAAGCAAGCAAAAGAACATGAACTGATACAAATAAACCTCAGATAATTTTACAGTATCTAACTTTCAAACTTGTGGTACTGCCAACAGCATTCAAGACATGATCTTAGGAACAAAAAACTTTTTGCAAACTTAAGCATGACACTGTCAAATTACTGACGTCAACCCAGCACGCAAAATTTCAATGTTCGCAACTCCACCCTGCTACAAACAATTTCATCCATCTAAGATAAGCTGGGGCCAACACAAAGTACAAGCATTACACAAAATTGATGGCCACAGTTCAGTAATTTGAACCAAAAGTTCTGCAGTCCACCCCAGAACGAAGCACCCAGTCACTACAGCTAACTCAAGAAACTCAAATAACTAGCAAAATCAGTACTCCAAGCATTAGTAATTAAAAAAAGAAAAACGAATGAGTGAGTGAAAAGATATAAGCAGTAAAAGACCTCGCAAACTGGATATTGAGATCTCTCACACGCCCACTTCCAGCTCTCAGTGCATCGAGTGGCGGCTCCTGTATAGATCTTTTTGCCTTGTCGGCATGAAATTTTGACTGCTGCACAGCTACATAACCTTCAACACGCAAATTGACAAAGAAAAAAAAAATATCAATCGTTCCCGCACACACACACACACTCACTCTTAATGTTGTGTGAAAGAGTGATGACGAATATTATTTAATTATATTGATAATATTGATGATAGTGAAGTCGAGTTAAAAATGTTTGAATTTTAATATTTGTATCCGAGCATCCTCTAAGAGCCCGCCTGCTCAGCAAGTATTGACGGCTCTAAGGACGAACGGAAAGATAAGAGAGGGTACGTATCCCACAATACACTACTACGAAAGTTGGAGTAATTGTTCGGGCTTGACATACATGCACAAGAAAGAAAGTTTACAACTAGCAAAGGTGCAGGTCAACCATCAACAAAACCCCATCTAAAGTAGATGATTTTTTTCTTACCCAAAAGGCGGTGTTAGAAATACAAGTCTGGCTTGCTAAATATTGTACTAAAAATTCCACATATACATTCACCATAAATATTTAAATTATAAGAAGCATTTTCTTACAGGCATTTTGGGCAGGGATTGGTTTGAACCTCCACTCATGAAGGACTGGATGGTCCTCAATGGAGTAGTAGACCTGGGCTTGAATAGTTTGCACAGGGCCACCATCTTCCTCGGCAGTCAAAGTCAAGAAGTACACCCCGGGCCTGGTCAGGATACAGATAGCCCTCTCGACTTTCACAAGCTTATATCTGTGACCCTGTTGTAATTTGGATTCTTAGTAGACTATGGAGCAACCAAGCTTTGAACAAAATAAAAATAAAAATTGAAGCAAAATAAGGCTAGAATGATGTTCATGATTTGAGGTGATAACATTAGAAAGCAAAATATATTTAAGGGCAGATTAGAAACGCACAGTCTCTTCACAGATATTCTGAATTGCTAACTCGGCTGCTCGGACAACTCTAGCATAGCCGGTTTTACGAATATTGCATGTACTCTGGCGCATCTCTTCCAGTGGCATTGGTGAGAATGGAGATTCAAACATCGAAGGCGGGTAGCAATCCACGTCATAACCCTACAAAATACAGAAGCAGCTCATCATCTAATCTAATTCAATCAAACAAAAAAAAATAAGACAAACCAACATAAAAAAATATAATTAAACAAAATTAACGAGTATATAAACGAGATGCAGCAACTTAGAGCTCCCCAAACACATTATATAAGGATGAAAAAAGCAGGACCAAGTAGGCGAGCAAAACCCTAACTATAAACAATCGGATTTCAACAACGGTAGAATCAGTACGGGGACAGAGAAGGAGAAGAAGGGATTATAGGGATAGATACCCTGGATTCGCGGACTTGTTTGAGGAATCTCTTGACCAGCTCGATTGTATTGGGCTTAATCTTCTCGCCGTTCTGGTAGAAATAGGATTCAGGGACGTCATAATCGTTCTTTTCGAACCAGAACTTGCGCTTGTACGGTACAAACAATCCCCACCTGTCATCGTCGAGAGTCGGGTCCGTCACCATCTTCATTGTTACCCCGATGTGTTTGGCTCTGTACGTCTCACTTTTATAATGAATACTATGCAATCCAACTCAATACATGTCGAGTGAATATATACAATACAGGGGAAGGCTAAGTCGGTTGTGCGTTGGATATAGGGCAAGCATCCACAATGCTTTGGGTCTCTTTTTGCATATGTGGTAAATAAATAGACTTAAGTCTATAATGACATGGACAAACCCAAACTAAAAAATCCAAAATCTATCCAATGCAAAACAAAAAAGTACTAGGTCTAGAATACATGACAACCAATAAAAATGCTCTAATATATTTCATTTATTAAAAGAAAAACTAAATGAGGAATAAATGATGAGTGCTTGGGTTTGTACTTGGGTCTAAAATAGACCCAAGTGTGAACTAGGTCTCATTTTTTTATTGCCACATAAGCTAGACTAGGTCTACATTTAATTGCATTGGAGAACACTTTTTTATAGACTAGGTCTATTTTTTACATGGCATGTAACTTTTTTCTAAGAGACCCAAAGCATTGTGGGTGCTCTTAGATATATTCAAAAGTTTTTTTTTTTTACAAGTTTACATTGGAATGGTTACATTAGCATTTTCCTAATATATATTACATATATTATATAATCCTTCTTTTAGTTTTAGTATTATGACTAGTACGTATGTGGCCCGTGCGATGCACGGGAAACAATATTATGATTATATTAAAAATTAAATTTATAAATAACATTAATCATGTTTTACCTATCGTTCTCAAAACTAGATCGGATCGAATAGTCCTACGGTATGGACCGAGAACCGATTTATCGACCAATTCGATTTGTTTTAATAAAATGTTTGCTAGAGAACTGGTCAACACCAATCGGTCAGACTATTAGTATCAGAACGACTTTTTACATAATTTTTGTTACATTTAAAACTATTTTTAATATAAATAAAATTACATGTTTAATAAAAATGTTTTTTTATATATTATTTATCATTTAATTTAAAGATTGAATACTTTAAATTTTTTGTATGTTTAATTAATATTTTTAATAAATTTATTATTAAAATTACTATATATATTAAAATTCTGATACAACCGATAAATCATTGAAGAAATAACTTGATCGGTTTAAAATAGTCATCTCCTGAGAACTTTGGATTTAACGTACATTAATAAAGTTGTATGCAATATCATTTTGTTCACAGAAATATTAATAAAATAACATATAAGTGTTCATAAATCCTTGAACATCTATACTTATATTAAAAGCTATATTATTTACTAAATGTAGTATGTAGAATAGTCAACCCTAATTAATGATTTGCTATTTTTATCAAGCATTTAATTAATGAATCTAATATTTTTGCTATGCAAATCAAATTAGCATTTAATTAGTTTTTAAAATATTGGGTATGCAATATTAATTTAGAAATATTCATGTAGTTCCTAAAATGTTGGTATGCAATACGTAAAAGAAGATTTTTTATTTTTTTTAAATATAAAATATTGCAACACGTAAAACTATTCCAGTTATTTTTTATTTTATTTTACATATAAAATCTAATCAATATTTAATGCATCTTACAAAACTGGATTTAGTTTAATTCTCCATACAATTGGTTGTACCTTTTTCTGTTGTACTTTTTTTATTTATTTATTTTACACTTTTAAATTAATGAAGCTCTCCAAAAATACCAAATTAAATGATTTATGAAAGTTTTTTTTTCAATAAATGAATAAAAGTCTAATTACTACTATAAATCCATTATCTATATAGATTTTTTAAAAATCTAAATTTCACCTATCTAATTACTAATATTTTAGATACTTTTAAATATTATTTGTATAAAATTTTCTACACATTTGCTCTATCTATATATATACATATATGGAGGTTAAATGATGAATTTTTAGACATATTTTCCTTACGGGTAGTTTAGAAAAAATTAGGTAGCTTCAAACATTATTTGTGAATAATATAGAATATTTTAGATGCTTTTATAGATGTTAAAAAATATTTTAAGTATTTTTAATATTTATATATCACACTTAAAATGAATATTTTGCCAAAAAAAAATTAAATACACATTGTAAATGTTAATAGAAACAATCTTCAGTGTTCGTCTTTGATTTTGTCAAAACAAATCTCATAAAATTGGTGAAGTCAAAATTTGTACGTAAAGTCTA